GTAGGTGATAACATTATCAAATTGATTTAAGTCATGATTGAAACAGATTATTTAGCAAAGTTTATAATATAATGCATGAATTATTTCCAGTACGTTCTTGTTTCTTAAAAGCAGAATGAATTTTTTGACACAGCTTATAAACACTTTTTTTATTTATTTATGTACTTTTATTTGTTAATTTATATACATTGCTTATAAATAGATCGTTTGATTTACAAGCCTAAAATTGTGTTGGAATAATATTACGTGAAATTAATTAAATAATTACTGTAATAATTATATGGTAGGAGCTATTTTTAATCGTCAAAAATTTTGTTTTAACTAAATTTAGTCAAAAATATATTGCAATACTTATTTATACATCATAGATTATATTGTACCAATAGGTTAGCTTTTCATCATAAATTACTGAACAGTATTCCTTTAAATCCTGATTTATATGACTATCATGTTTTTCAGCGGATGTAATTTTCATAATAGCTAATTCCAGTTTTATCTATTTCATACATCATTTTCTAATTGCCTTTATCGTTTTCCTTCATATCCTGATTTTTCCTCCGTTTTCGCATGATTATCAGGAAGGTCAAGGATTTCGATATGGTCCGAAGAATCATATTTCTCGGCTTAGACGTACACCAATAGCGTCATTAGTTGGAAAATAGAATGTTTCGGCATGCAAAGCTTTTTAGTTTCACATTTCACCCCACACAATTTTAGACGGAGAGTTGAGAAACCATGTTGGAGGAATATATAAGAACTCCTTTTTTTTTGTCTTCATATTTAATAATATTACTTTTCTCGTAGATATCTTTGAATTTTAAATCAAGAAATATTTTTGTCTTTAAATTTGCTATGTTAAATGCGTTTGTAAAATTTGATTATTGACAAATTTTGTGTGAAAAAATAAAAATCCAACCATGTCATTAATTTAGCTGGTGCATAGCAATAACCGAAAAATGCTCATTATTTTACCAAAGCTCTACGTTGCGCTTAAAAGCTTATAACAAACAACGTGAGATTTGATCTCCCCGTCAAGGTCTGGGACGTCCGAACAAGAATCGAGTTTTGAACAAGAATCCAAAAAGTAATAAGAAACAAAAAAAATTTTTTAAGAAACTATTTCTTTAGTTATTTATTTACTGTCGACGTTTCGGAACTAGGTACGTTTCATCTTCAGAACATCTGTCAAGAAACATGATCTTGATGAGATTTAAGCAAACAATATGTTTAAGAAAATAAAATGGACTTTTTAATTAATAAAATAGTTGAAAAAATAATGTACAGAAATATGATAATATGATCAAAATGAAAATATAATAGATATATAATATATACATGTATATGGAATCATCATATTAGGCATTGTGTTTTTTATTGTTATCTAATTTATTTTTTATATTTTTCACATTGATCTTTGATAATTGTGGGTTAAATGTTTTATACGTTTTCTTATTGGATTGAAATAATCGGTTTGATATACGAGTAGCATGGACATAATATTAACTCCCATCATTACATCATGATTGTTGTAAAGAAAATATTACATATTTCTAACCTTTGTATTTGAAATAGCTAATACTAGGTTTAAAAAACAGACTAAAATAAAACGTATTAATATGAGCATATATTTTCACGTGTGGCCTATTTTTAAATCATTTTAATTAAAGATGCTTGTTGACAAAATGTGAATTATATCATACAATAATTGGTAACCATTAATTCGAGTACATTTCTGAAATAATATTATGATTTATATAACTAATTTTATAGTTTGAGAAGCATCAATTGATTTATAGCCGTTTATTACTCACAATGTTATTTCTTATTGTTTCAACTAACTAGATGCATTTATTTTTCTAAAATATGTATATGCAATTATATTGACCGCTTTCTTCATGAAACTGAATTATGCTTACTGATTAACTTTTTTATGACAAATTTTTTATATTTGTAGTAATCATTAATGGGTGATTTATTTGATTACTGGGCTTGATTTTTGTTTATAATTGCTTAATTTTATTGTCTGTACATATATTATCAAAAATAAAAATATAAGATAAAATTAAAAGTTTATCACAGTTTGAAAATCAACTGCACAATAACTATTCTAACTAACGAGAAAATACCTATCTATGAAAGCTTTCAATATTTTTTTCAGCTCTATATCAAAATCAAAAAAATCTATAACAAAATCAATTGAATACTTGAATTTTCTTGTCTACCATATTAGACAAATTTTTCCCCTGCAGCCCTCCGTTTAACCATTCAGTTTCTACCATCCCCAACTCACCTGGTTTGGCGGTGACCCTGACCGGTGTACTAACACGAAGCTTTGGTCAAGCATTTTATGTAAAAAATCTACCGTGGTGCTTTTTAAACTGTATCGTAAATCTTTCAACGTACTGCTATAAAAATACATAATATTTACAATAACCTTGTTAATATAATGTGCTTTTTAATGAAAATATTATTAGTGCTTCAAGCTCTCATATTATTTTACAGAAACAAATTAATTTAATTAGAGCGAGTGATTTGCGATTTTTATTCATTAGCAGTGGTTTAAAAATAGAAAATTGTATGTTTGATTAGAACTTTTATTTCTATTCGATTAGAATTGCGTAGTTATGAAAAATAGTTATGTGATTGAAATTTAGAAATATTTTATCAATATATTATTAGTTATTAATTAAAAGTTTTTGTTTTGTTTATCAATATTTTCATATTTTTGTGACTGGGGCAAAATAGCTCCAATTTAGTTCAAAGGTTCTATGTCTTATTGTACAAAAACAAAAAAGTTAATTAATATAAGAAAGTTAATATAAGAAAGCTCTTCAGTGCCATATTTGAAAATTTTAAAAATAATGAAGAATTATTTTTATTTCCATTTTTTTATATGAAATGCATATTTAGGCAAAATTATTTATTCTAAATATGTTGTTTCATTTATTTTAATTATATAATATATAATTTCTCTATTTTATATATTTACTTTATTTAAAATAAAAATTACTGCTGTTCTCTACATTCACAATTCTTCTCCAATTTGTGCTTTTTCATTCTTTACTTAAAAAGCTTTTTGTTTTTTATTCTTAACTAATAATAGTAATTGATAATTGTCACTGGATACTTGTAGCGAAAATTTTAATCAAAAACCCTTTATTCAATTGGCATAAAAATTGATCAGAGTGAACCTAATCATTCATCAATAGCTTGTGCTTTTTTATTCTTAACTTAAAAAGCTTTGTGCTTTTTTATTCTTAACTAATAATAGTAACAGATAATATTGTCACTGGATATTTGTAGCGGAAATCTTAATCAAAAAGATTTGTTTAAAGATTTGATTGAGGTGCACACAATTACTTATCAATAGCTTTTTTATTCTTAACTTAAAAAGCTCTGTGTTTTCTATTCTTAACTAATAATAGTAATTGATAATTGTCACTGGATATTTGTAGCGGAAATTCTTATCAAAAAGCCTTGATTCAATTGATATAAAATTGATCAGATTGAACACAATTACTCATCAATAGCTTGTGCTTTTTTATTCTTAACTTAAAAAGCTTCGTGCCTTTTTATTCTTAACTAATAATAGTAATTGATACTTGTCACTGGATATTTTTAGCGAAAATTCTTATCAAAAATCTTTGATTCAATTGACATAAAAATTGATCAGAGTGAACACATTACTCATCAATAGCTTGTGCTTTTTATTCTTGACTTAAGGGGGTATTCTAGTGTAGAAATTTCAAAAAATCGATTTTTTTTATCTCATATTTTCAAAGTTTAACTATCTAAGAATATAGGTACGAGTAGGTTTTTGAAAATTTGAATTATTTTCGGAGCTATAGGCATTTTACTTACTCGGTCTCCATACTGGTTTGGCTTCACGCAAAACTTTAAATGCGTTTTCTCAGAACAGACTTTTTCAGTACTGTTGACACGATTTCTCGAGTTTTAATCGACCTATTCACTTGAAATATTCAGAGAGTCTTGTTTATAGACCTATCTATAGCCCGAACTAGGATTATCACCAAATTCTAATTTTTACTATTTTCAAAAAATTCGGGAAACTCAAAAAAAACAGTACAAAAAGGACTTTTTTTCAAACAGTCGCCAATTTGTAAAAAACATTTTTTTTTCACTCATCGCTAGTTCGGGCGATTGCGACATCATTGCAGATTAATAATCTTTTTATTTTTTGCATTTCCGATGGCTAGCAGGGCTGAAATCATGTCAAGACTGAGATGCCAATTTTTGAGACCACCCACTTCATCAGCTGCCGGTTTTTACAATTTTCAACTTCTTTATTTTTTAATTTTTGTTTTGTATTTTAATAATATTAATAAACAAGTAATAAAAAAATGAAGAGTAAAAACATTCATTGCTTTCTTTTACGACACTTAAAAATGACCTAAAATTCATAGCTCTACACTAGAATACCCCCTTAATAAGCTTTGTGCTTTTTTATTCTTAACTAATAATAGTAACTGATAATTGTCACTGGATATTTTTAGCGCAAATTCTTATCAAAAAGCTTTGATTTAATTGACACAAAATTGATTGGAGTGAATACAATTGTTCATCAGCTCAAATAAAGTTACTATAAAATTTATTTAAAAGCTATTGCCATGGACCTGTCATTGGGCGGACAACTATTCAATATTAAAATAGCTATTTGTAGGTTATTTGTCTTAACGCTTATCTTATTTAGCAACTAGAGGATATATATCGTGTTTTTTTTTTAACCCATCAATTCATATTCACAACATATCCAAACGTAACTGATTGTAAGTTCGAATTTTCTATTGTATGTTTTTATTTGAAATTTGATAAAGAGTTGAAAATACATATCTCTTAAACTTAATACTAGAATTTGATGATATTAAAATTATTAAAACAGTACTTTCTTTATATTTCATCAGCTGTCTCTATAAATCCAAGTAATGGTGAGCTGAGACCGTGGGACATGCGCCTTGTTCGGTGTCTTAGGCCGCTGAGCAATGAGAAGTCATCGCGAGGCGCCGTCGTCGTCCAGGTTACGATTGGGCTGTTTGAAGCAAGGTAGCTCCGGCTTGATGTACGCCTGTCAACAAGGCGACCTGCCAGGTGTCGTGCGGATTCTCGGGGAACAGGTTGCATTTTCATTTCTGCGCATTTTCATTTATTCGAAATATAAGAAGTGCTTTGTTAAATTTAATATGCAGTGAAAAATATTACAATATTATGAACGTGATTAAAATCAAAACGATAAAAATGATTTTTCGTTAAATTATGTGTAATATCATTTTGTATGCGTTATTTTCTAAATGCCTTAATATGCACTATACATGATGGAGCAGAATGATTCATTATCAAGAGTTGATGATAAACATCAAATTTAATTATTATTTTTATTACTACTATGTATTATTAATATAAGTATTAATAATTAATTAATTATTATTTTATTCAAGAATCAATTTAATATTTTTTTTAAATTGTGTACGCAATTCATTCATTATTTAAAGTGGTAGGTGCTAACATATATAGGTCAACTGTTTTTCAATAATTCGTATGGAAATAAGTAAGTTTACCGAATATTAAAACTGCATTGAATTGCATTTTTAAATACATTTGTATGTATCCATAGATACGAAACAAATAGTCAACTAAATACATTGGTACATAAAATAAAGACTTAGTATATGTATATATATATACATTAGGGTGGTCCTTAATATGGACATTTTCGAATTTTTTTGCTCCCAAAGGCTCAAATGGTTCCAAATTGATAAAAAACTATTCTCTGAAAGCTTTAGCTCTTAATATTAACTTTTAGATAGTGCGCAATTCAATCAAAGTTTTGTATGGAAATAGCATGAAAAATTTTCAAAAATTTTAGAAATGTTTTTAGATATAATTTAGCGAACAAATGAACGAGTTTTATTCAAAATTTGTCGCTAAGTTATACCTAAAAAAATTTTTTTTTAATTTTCAAAATTATTCCATGCTACTCGTATTACCATATAAAGATTGATTGAATTGCGAACTATCTAAAAGTTAATATAAGAGCTAAAAACTTTCAGAGAATTGTATTATTCCTATTTTGTATTACGTTCTGTTCTGCTTACTAACTTTTTAACATTATAATGTATTTATAATTTTTTTTGTTATATATGTATACATATAATTTTTATATTGGCATGAAATCTGTTAAAGTATGAATCAATATTTATTGATATTATTAATATTATTGAATTATCACATTTTGCTACTTCCATTTTTAAAAGCAGTTTTTGATTGAAATTATTTACTAATCTATTTATTGATATTATTTTTTTTGCAATTTACTAAACGGATTTAGTCAAAAAAAAATTGACCAGTATTAAATAACTTCAAAAACAATTAATTACTCTTTGTTTATGCCTAATTTTACTTGTAAAATTGTAAATATTTTTATTACCATTTTATTAACATTGAAACGAAGAAAGAGTATCGCTTTATAATTGTGTTTTCATTTATCTGGTACATTTGGTTCCATTTATCATTTACAATGTATTTTAACCCTTTCGACTCGAATGCCGCCGCGCGGCAACTAAACTTACAACATGTGATTTTTTTTTTTCATTCTTTTAAATTAATTCACTATTAAGTTCATTTATTGATTAATATATATTTTCAGAAATAAAATATGATAAAATAAACTTAATAGTTCATAAACCCCATTATTTTTTAGATATAAATGTTATTAGCGATTTCATTTTATATATTATTTATATATACAATGTAATGTATTGTACATATGCATATTTTACATACACACACGTATATATATATACGTGGAATAAAAAAATAACGGTATTATTGGGGTTGTTCTTAAATGGACATGCAACCGTATCTACTCTTCAAGAATATTTTTTTATTCAGAATATATTTGATATAATTTTTATGAATTAATTTTAATAAACATCTGTGTAAAAACGATTTATTAAACAATAACATGGTTTTTATCACATTTTTAATTTTTTTTTCAAAATTGTTTGTTTTATTATCATAATAATAAGTATTTAAAAGCAATATTACCACATTTTAAAAAAATCCGATACAAAAAAAATTCCGAGCGCACCGTCGAGCAGACTCCCGAGTGGAAAGTGTTAAGATATTATTTATTCATAAAAAATTCTTGAATCCGAATTGAATTCTATAATTTTCTTCTAAAAATCGGATTTTAAAAACCGACAAATATTTTTGATAATATTTAACTCGTCCTAATATTTTTATTGATCTATTATATTTTACTTGAAATATTATACATATATTGAATTTTTATTACGCATTATAGTCATATGTTTGTCCTAATTTTCAGCCGGTCTCGGCTTACCGTCAAGATCGAAACCGTCGCACCGCACTGCACTACTGCAGGGGCAGCGCGGTGGCGGGCCAGCTCGTCACGCGGCTCCGGGTCCTGCTGGACAGCCCGGACCGTGACGTTTGACACCTTTGCATTTGGCTGTAATACAAGGTGACACTACTGCATTGGTATCACTTCTCATTGCTCAAGGGGCTGATATCGATGCACTGGACAATGAAAGACATTCTGTAGTCCATTGGGCGACAGGTAATTAAAATAATTTATTACTTCTCTCACAATATACAGAGTTGATATTTTTGAAGTAAAACTTATTTAGTCGTGACTAGGGTGTAAATCTGTACAAATGCAACGGAAGTGCGTTACGGCAGATAAGATGGGATAAGAGTCGAGTGCCAATGATTTGTCATTCGCTCTCGATGATATCATTTCTATATGGATCGATTGTGATTAGCCGTCGTGTATGTGAATAAAGATTTGTCGTTGTATACGTACCGGCGTCAACGTTGTATGCGTAGGGTAGGGCGGGGCTAGTTGAGCAAATTTTTACTTAAACGGATGTAGCTCCTCAATGAAAAGTCTCAATAAATTGCTATATGGCTTAAAGGATTTGTTGTTTATCGCTTAACAAAAGTGTTATACTATTTTTTGGTATAAGTAAAATTTAAAAGCTCATCTGTTTAAATGCAAAAAGTCAAGTATGCTCAATGTACCCCATAGGTGGGGCAAGTTGAGCACTAAGAAAGTATAATGAAATCATAGGTTCAATGTCGATTAGTGATTAAATAAAATAAGTTTTTAATAACCAGTTCTATATTTATAGTCTTTATTGACAGAGAAAACAAAACTTATAGTAATTTTTCTTTGAATAATTAACCAAAAGTAGATCAACAAAACAATATCGTATCATAGGAATTATTTTACCATTATATGCAGTATTTTGATTTAAATCATGATTTCTTTATATTATTACTCATAGACTTAGCTTAAATCTTAAAAATAATAATTAATTTCTGGAAGTTAATGGTAATTGTCTTAGTGACAGAACAAGTTTAGCAACTATGCTCAACTAACCCCAACTCGGAATTTCAGAATAAAAGGACCTCTGTGCATATTAAAAGTACTATAAATATATGGAAGAATAACATTTACCTGATTAAAAATAAATTACATTTGACTAAACCAGACGAAAACTCGCGATAAATTACATTTTTACTTTTAGGTCTCAAAATAAACAAATCGCCCGTGAGCCTCACTCATTTGTCCAGCGGCCACTAGCGATCGCGGGATGTTTATTTCTCCCAAACCTCTATCTTTTCGCCATATAATGCCTAAACGGACGGTGAATAGTTTTCGAGATATTTCGATTGCTCAACTTGCCCCTATGCTCAACTAGCCCCGCTCTACCCTACCGATATCGACAAGGAAATCGGCATTGATGAATAAACATTTTAAAGTTACATCGTAGTACAAATCTTGAATTAATGAAAAATTGTTTCTATATTAATCGTAGTTTCTATAAATCTCCGAAGTAATTAAAATGGAAAATATTTTTTAGGCAAGACAGATATTACAGCTGTTCAAAGAATGAGATTATATCACCAGCGAAAAAGTAAAAAAACAGTCAATGAATGTATGTTAATTTTAATTACATGAAGTTCTTCAAACACAATTACATGATGAGTGAAGTTGTGAAAACAATATTTGTTTAGGCGTTGTTTAACATAATCCACTGTGTGAACGAATATTATAGAATTTATTAATCAGCAATTACTTTATTTCTCTAATGAAGGTTCATTTCTAAATGCTAATTACATTGACAAACCGATCATGTCATATTTGAAGAATGACTTTAATTACATTATTGTTTTCCAATATTAAAAATATTTTAATGTTATTATAAATGTATAATTTATAATTTATTTTTATATAAATGTGTAAAATGGTTGACACTAATAAATGTGTGCATCACGAGTGTTACCATATTACTAATAAACATTATTCAAATAAATTTAAATTGGTTACTTTGTACGGTAGCAAATAAGTTTTACTTCAATCGCGTATGAACCTTAAGCGCACTCTTTTCTTATTTTTATATTGCATTTGCGGTATTTTTAACTTAAGTGTTTACCATATTACAGTTTTATAATACATTTATTTCAGTGTGTTGTGAGCTAGACTGTCTCCGGTTACTATTATCTGCAGGAGCAAATCCATCAGCCCCTGATATATTAGGTGGTTGCCCACTTCATTACGCCGCTCAACTATGTGGAGCACCGCTTGCTCAAGGCGCAGTACCAGGACATGCTCTTCGAATCCTGAAGTATTACTATAGTGTAATTTATAGACAATTCATATCTCTCAAAAAATAAATCTTTTATACCTACTTTCAGAGAATTGCTTAACGCGAAAGGTACATCGGTCCATGTGGTTGATCATGAAGGGCGATCGCCTCTTCTTTGGGCAGCTGCTGCCGGTAGTCCAGAAGCTGTCATAGCCCTGATAAAAGCTGGAGCTCATGTGGAAGCAGCTGACAGGTGATTCTAAATTCTTATAAATAATTCTTATAAATATTTATATAAAAATAATTTAAGTTCAATTCAACTCCTCATTAAATGAAACTAAGTAATTAAGTTTAAATGATAAATTTTCAGGGATGGTTTAACGGCTTTACATTGTGCTGCGTCTCGTGGTAATACAGGGTGTATAGAAACACTTATCACTTTATGCGGAGCTGCTGTTGATGTTATAGGTAAGTTTTCAACAAAAATATTTTATGCACAAATGAATAGTGAGACGTAATTTGTGATACTTCACATATTTATTCGATTAGATTGCAATGGTTGCACTTCGTTACATTATGCAGCCACACTTGGACACGCCGATGCTACTTCTTTGTTACTTGATTTAGACGCCGCACCTGATAGACAAGACCGTAAAGGACGTACACCTGCTCATTGTGCTTGCGCTAAAGGACAATTAGAAACTGTTAAAATTCTAGGTAAATAAACTGATATTATAACAAATTGATAGTTGAAAAAAGAGGTTTACAAAATATCTATTTTGCAGCAAATCATAAGGCTAATTTATGGATACGTAATATCAAAGGCGATCTTCCACTCCATGATGCAGTAGCATCAGGTAGACGCGAATTGGTTTTATATCTCCTGCAACTGAAAGATGGATTTATAAATTCTAGTGGACATGATGGAAAAACTTTGTTACATATAGCAGCAAGTCCATGACCACGCGGATATTTGCAAGGTAGGCAA